GACCAGTCAAATTAATAAAATGGACTTCATCTTAGATCTGGGTCGAATAATATCGATTGCCTAAGGTGGAGCGACCCTACCAGGGGAAAAATTGAGTTGTCACCACCCGAGACACGTCGATCGTTCATCGGAACCATCATTCGTCACTTGGTTTGGGCACAACTTTTATAAGGAGAATAAAATCCCTTTCTCATCTATGATGGGCAACTCCAGCCTAAAATAGGCGTTAAAACTAATGGAGTAGAGGTCTCTCTCCCTGTTTCGCTCTGACCTGCCAAATGTCTCGTCTCCGTTTTAAACGTGTGTTCATCTCGCCGGTTCATAGCGTCTTCGGAGGCAAGTTCACATCTGAGTTTGAGGCAGACTAAATGACGACCATGAACAATCGCCACACATTAGCTATAAAATAGTTATCATGACGCACTATACCAAGAATTGTTTTTGCAGTGGGGTCAGTAAATACTTTCCCGATTATGAATCCTACTAAAGGTGAATTTGTACAGGTCTGACATTTGTACTTGACGGAGCATAACCATACGACTTGAATAAACGACGAAGACCAAAAGTAGCCTGAAGTTGACTAACAGGGGTCTTGTTCGCGGTTCCTTCTGGGTTCGTTTGCTCGGAAACTCCCTCGGGGGGGTGAGTCTAGAAACCATCTGAGTCGGCTACTTTCTAGGACAGGGTCGGACTAGGGTGCGGTGTGGGTGGTTAGTCGCTTTGGGGTACGTGGAGACTTGGACAAGGTTGGCTGTCACTAGAACTCGATCTTACGTTCGAGTTTGATTCCTATCTTTTTACACAATTCCTGTTCTATTTATCTTTTGCGGGACTTGTCTCTAAGTCAGAACGTATTCTTCTTTTGCCACTTACAGGAGTGGGTCGACCCCAAAGCAGTTTGGATATGACAGATACTCGTAAAAAGTATAAACGAAAGTAAAGAGTTTGAATTAGTAGTATTGTACAAAAAGTGTTATGTACACTAAACAGTTCTAGAGATCGGAGAATTCCTAAGTTTTAGCTTCTAGTCCTGCATGAAGCACGTCTTTATATGATAGATGTGTCGTGACACGGTATTGAAAGTGTCCTGTATCTTTGTCTTTTCTACAAATGAGGAGGATAGACATTTTAACCTCACCAGAGCACACCTGATTGTTTCTTGGACTAAACACCGGGAACTCACACTCAAACACGCAGTGTCTTTATTTGGAAAAACTAAGCGAAGAGGAAAACACACACTGATAAAGAGTGAGTGATCTACCACTGGATTAGGTACAAAATTCCGCGTAAGTCTTATTAGCCGATGTCTGTTGCTTCTGTAAGCCAAATTGTCAACAAATATTAATTTTATCCGTCAACGTATCGAGTAAGATAGTGTGAAAGCTCATTCATTCTCATTCATTAATACAAACCAAAAAACCGTAACTATCAAAGGGATGTTGATCCGTGTGGGTGCACAAGCCAGGTCGGTCGAAAAAGGTTAGCTTCGTCAACCACCTTGGAGAAGTGCCGGCTGGGTCCCTACCAACAAAACCCGTCGTCCCCAAAGACCAACTTCTCAGACAAGCTTTCCACAGTCGACTTAATTTTTTAGGTCGTAAATGAGCACCTTTTTGTGCAAATCTAGGACGCTGTATCCTCTCTATGTTCTAGAAGATCGGAGAAATTCCCCTAGAGTGTTAGCTTTCTCAGTCATCCTCATGAAGCAGTCTTTATATGCATACAGAATGTTTCGTGCCACACGGGTCTATTGAACGTGTCTGTCATCTCTTTCCCTTTCTACCTACACATGACATAGAACTATTTTAACAATCACATACAACACCTGATTGTCTTACATGGCGACTAACGCCCACCCGGCGAAACTCACCCTACCCTTAAACACGACAGTTCCGTCTTTTATTTGGAAAACTAACGAAGAGTGAACACAACCGAGCGTGATCGACAAAGAGTGAGTCGATCTAACTCACCTCGACATAGGTACAAATTCTCGCGCCCATGTCTATGAAGATGTCTGTGTCTCTCTGTAACAAATGTTCACACATAATTAATTATTTTATAAACTGTCAACGTGTCGAGTAAAGTATCAGTGTGCAAAGCATGTCCTTCATTCTGATTAGATAATACAAAAAAAAAAAACCCGCTCAACTACATCACGGATGTTGATCCTGTGTGGGTGACAACAGCCCATGGGACAAAGTGAGGGCTTCCGTCCACAACTCACCTTGGCGAACGTGCCGTGTCTTGGAGACTACGTGTTTTGCTTCGTACAAGGGCGGCGTCCACGTGCCGTCATCGTGGGTGGACACGACCCCTAAGCCACGACACGTCAAACGAACAACACACACGTCTTTTGTGTAGCATTGTACTGTATTCCTTCACCCACCTGATATGAAGTGATCACTGCATAAGCGAAAGCAAACGGCCGGGGGGTCCCATCTTTCAGTCTTGTTCAGACGGCTCCTGGCTCTTTTAATCGCTGCGATCCACTTTTCCCTCCTCTCCGCGTCTTTTGGAATGCGATAATAAGATACACCTTTCTTCTTCCCACGCCTATTTGTGCAACCTGGTGCACAGCAGTTATCCACCATCCTCGACAGTCTGCCAGTGCCTGCCAATGAATTTACTGACGCGATTACTGCCAAAATGGCTGCCCCCTTCGTTTCTCGTCACGTGACCAGCATATGTGACATCATCCGCAGGAGCTCTATAGTGTGTATCCAATCAAAAGACGTGCACGTGCTAACGTCATCGTACGCCTGCTAGCTGGCCCGTTGTCGCCAACTCAAAATCTGATTGGTTAACGCCACAGTTTTGTTTCCGTTCACTTTCATCTACAGGCGACCACACTGTTGATTCTGAAGGCCTAAGGGCAGATTTCTTGGACCCTGGCAATACATTATGGCTGAAATATGATTGGATATGCTCTAACATAAAGGCCAGCCCTCCAAATCTCGTTCTGAGGCTGGAAGCAGCGCAACCAAGAGGAAAGCTATGAAATGAAGAGAATAGACTACAGGGAATAATTTAATACATATTTGTGGAAAAAATATATCAAAATTTAATTTATATTCTGATGATGTTTAGGCCAGCAGAGAAGGCCTTGCTGGCCCTGACGGCCCACCACTGGGTATTAGAGACAAGGGAACCGGAAGTGTTAAAATGCCACTGTCAATTCCGGGTTCAAGTACTCGTTCCTGCAACACACATTTTTTTTACTGGTTTAAACATCTATAGATCATCTTGACCTATTTCTTGATGCATTGAGTTGTTGACAAGTGATTTGCTAATTAGATAATTGGGTTAATTAGCAGGTGATTAGGTGAACCAAAATAAAGTGGCCAATATGGGAAAATACATATGGCCATTGCTGATCCGTCAGCCGTCTCTGTGTTAAATAATGAATGCCAACCTTGCTTTAATCTGCTCTTACCGCCACATAAGTGGGCTTTGATTCATCCAAGAAATTCAGATGATATAAAGGAAGTAGTCCATCACTTTATGTAACCTCACATTGGCTTTCCTGTGATTGCCTTACCTTTCTAGCCCTCTCATGTTTTGCGATTGTGGCGTGCCACACCCATCAGGGACCCAATTAGCCTTAATGTATATGAGCAGATATACAATTGTGGCCACACAGGCCTTTCTGTTACATTTACTTGAGAGGGTGCATTAGATGCATTTTATAATGCCACCTATGTGACAAGGTAGACTTGCTTAAGATGCAAAAGGCCTTAATGTTACTTTTGTTTATTGATTTTTACATCTAGTGGAAGAAATATTTTGAAGCTAGTGGAGAATAGGGGTGGGGCGGGGTAGGCAGAGTATGACAGTCATTTTACCTAGCAAGTCCATTTTATATATCTGTGGTATCAGCTTTCAACAGATGACTATCTGTTGAATAATAAGTGAGTTTGATTTTCTTGGGAGAAGGTCACGGACAAACTGCTATTTAAGATTGAATGTGCACTCAGAGAGCAAACAAACCCAAAACAAACTCTGCATTGCAACTCAGTGTGTACATTTTTGAGAAAAGAAGACATCAATCAATCCCGAACGTCGATATACGTTTGCATCCCTTTAGCCGTACACATTTGCCAAGTAATGAAATCTGTGCATGGCTCCCCTGTTATCGATTTCACAGAGGCCCTAATTTGCTGCTTGAGATCAGGCAGCTCCCTCTCTCCTTTAACACCCCCCCCCCAACCTCTCTCTTCCTCACCATCTTTTTCTCTCTCCTATGCAAGCATACACAACACACACATCGTGTCATGTGTTACACATTCATGCCTTG